TAACAATTAAATTCATAGATCTTTATTATAGATTGGGCCAAGGAATTTATTAAAATATTTTCAAAATATTCTAGTCTTCAATTTTCTAAGCTTCATACTTGGTGCTATCATATAGTACCTGTAATTCAAGAATATAGATTCATAAATAGTATGATCATAGAAACTTATAAGACTCTTTAAAAGAGTTATATAAAAGAACCTTATCATATATCAAATAAAAAATGCTATATGAAACAAATATATTTTTTTTTTTTTAGTTAAAGTCTCTATCTTGGGAGTAGTGATGTTTTTATTCAAGTATATTAGAACACGACATGCCACCAGGGGCTCACCTTACATTGGAGGTTACAACTAGCCACACATACACTTTTGGTGCCTAATTTAAGTAGTTCGCTTACACATTACTATATAAGTTCTATACTAGTTGCCATACCTGCAAGCCAGCTAGGGGTCTTGTCTATTTAAACTCTCTGCATATGCAGTTCTTCTTGTATCACAGGAACATCTCAAGGCACTGCCCATCCAAGTTTCTGATGCTTATCGGTCTTCTTAGGACTACTTTATCCTCAATAAGAAATTTACTAGAGCTTTATGTTCCACACATATAGACCTAGTTTTATGCAACATGCTATAGTTACCTAACACTTGCAATCACAGGGGTTACTTGTTTAACCACTATGTTATACTATTTCTACCCTTATAAAGTTTACTAAAACCCCAGTACCCATTATTTCAGCATCTTCTTCATCATTTTCTACTAGCTGCAATGCAGAACCGTCAGTCTCATTCCAGACTACCAATCCAAATGGCCTGGTATGATATACTTCTGTATCCTTTTCCTTTGGCGAACCTGGCGGCCTGGTTGGTTATTTGCTCCTCTACACATATTTTGTCATTTGGTTTTAATCTTCAGTTCCTATGAAGGTGTTTCATGGTCTTAAACCAGTCCAATGATATCGTAGAAAGTTCATGCTATCTCTTTACTCAGAAATTTCTAAGTGGGTTTCTGTCACCTAGGTTTCTTAGTCTTCATACTTGGTAGTTTTATCATGGGTTTGCACAGAAGTCTTATGCAATACTAGTTAACATTCCTCTATGTACATGTAATATTACACTTCGCATAGATGCCTTGAGCTTCCAAAGTCAGAGGGACCTGACCTGGTGTACCTGGGTAACAGCCACATGAGGCCAACTGATTGACAGGAGACAGTTACCATAATACAGATATAATTTCCAAATTTCATCGTAAGTGGGATTTGAACCTTAGATCTGCCACTTAGAGGATGACATATGAAACAAATATTAAGAATGATAAGGAATATATAATAATATATAGTAAATAATCATTATCTATTGTTATCTATTGTTAAATACTAGTTAAAAAAAAAATTATATTTTAATTAAATAATATCTTGTAATATATAGCACAAGTCATAATTTAATTCTTCGATAATGTATTATCTAGCAATTAAGTTATAACTTGTGCTATATATTACAAGATATTATTTAGTTAAAATGTAATTTTTTTTTTTACTAATTAATAAATATTATTAGATTATATGGCAAAAATTAACTGAAAAAAAAGCATAAAAGAAATATCAACAAACGAAAAAGTTTGGAAAACTTTTGTGAACATTAAGTTTAGAGAATCTGGATAATTTTCTTGAAAAAGATAAAAATAATCTTGACCCACTACAAGTTAAAAGCTTTTAAAACCTATTATCTGCTCTTGATGAATTTTTTGAAGAGAAAATAATTTTGACTCTTAATGATTTTAATCAGATAGAAATGTTTTTCTCAGCTTTATTAAAAAGTACTAATATAATTCATGCCATATCAAGTTTTCATGATAAATTTATATTTTCTAACATTATCATAAGTGGTTATAAAAATAAAGAAGAAATAAATTGGTATAGCTTGGTATGTATTTAACATCTATCTAATGATAAAAAGTGTTAATATTAATAAGTAAAATAACTCTTAAAATTAGACAATTTTTTTATTTTTATCCAATGTTGAGAATAAATTATAACTAATATAAATATTATCATAAAGGTTCTTCTAATACTTAAATTTTATCAAACAAATGAAAAACCACTAGAATTCATTTTAGTTTGCTGATATGAAGAAGTTGCGAATTATGGAGCTTTCCTAAATTGAAGCTATTTGTGTACTATAGATGTATACCATTAGATAGTATAGATAGAACAGTGCATATAGTCCTGAGATTTAATAAACAAATGAATATTTAATAAACTGTTTCATGTTCTAATGCTAAATTAAATTTAAAAGTACTTATTTTAAGTATATGTTACATGTTGATATTTAAGTTATTTATTTTAAAGTATCAGTATATCTATGTTTGTGTATCGATATATTAAGTATATGTTATATATTGTGATGACAGATATTGTGATACTGAATATCATAATCGATCACATAAAATATACATGAAATGCAATAAGTTACATTTGTGATCGAAAATGGTATTTCAGATTCAGAGGGATAGTATAAGAGGATGTAAGGAGAAAATTACACATCCTTAAAGAAATAAAACATGGTTGGAAAAATTAAATATATTATTGTAAATAATATTTAGTAGCCTTAAAGTAATAATAAGTGCAACATCGCATTTGTAAGTGATGAATTTTATATTATAAATAAAGCCTGAAATGGCCCTCTGGAGCAGTATACTTAATTTGCTTTATTAAAACAATAAATCCCAACACTGTACATTGTACTTAATAAACACTAACACTATTACCATTACAAACCCTGAAAACTCCTGTAAATATCACTGTTCAAGCCCTTGTACACATGACTTATCCTATTTGCATTTATTGACCCAAAGTGACCGAAAGCCTTAACCACCCACAAGCCAAATCTAACACCCTCTTTCAAAAAGGTTACTTGTCATACATTACATGAGGTATAGAATTTTGGAGTGACAGAGTTGTGAACTTCAGAACCTAACAATATTGATTAGTAACAATAAATTGATTATTATTAATTTAAATAGATTCGATAGTAATTGATTTATATTCAAATTTCAATATATATCAGTTTATAGATATGTATCAATTTTGATATATATCAATATATAACTACCCTGCCAATATATATCATTATATTCTAATCGATTAATATTAATTATTTGATATATATCGATTAGTATCTATCTAAAAAATTTCTTAATGAAGTTAAATTAGTAAAAGAAGAAAAACCAATAAGAAATTGTATGCTATTTTAAGTAATATTAATTTGTTTACAATAAAAATAATTGTAGTAATGATTTAATTTTACATAAAAATCATGTAAGAGAAAAAAAGTAGGGGTAAATAAAAAAAAAATTTTTAAAGAGTTTACAAGAGAGGCAAAGTTATTTTTAAGATAACTCTGTCAATATTAGATCTATTAGGTTCGTTTAGACCTTATTTTGATTAGAGAAATGAGCTCTATAATTTTATTAGGACTATAAAGTAGGTTATAAAGCTGGTTATTAAGAAATGATTAAAGAAAAAGTTTAGAAACCCAAAGACTATTATTACAGTATTAAACTGCAAGTTTAAGAGTTATCTATATAAAACTTTAGAATATATATAAAATTAGGAGCTAAACAAGTTTACTTAAGATGCTAAAATTAGCTATCTTAATAAAATAATCAGATATTAATGATTTTAGTACTAACAGATTTTTAGTTATTTTTGTATAAAAATGATTTATAGAAAAAGTTTTTTTTTTTTTTACTAGAAGACATGAAAATACTATTTTTATAGAAAATTTTCAAGAAAAAAGAAGAGAACTTAGAATACAGTTTTGACATTCTTTTTCTCATTAACATAGCTTGTTTTTCTCTTATTTACTAACATTTTTTCATTTTTTCTATAATTTATTCATCATCACTTTAGAATTTTTTTCATCATCCTACAATAATATACAACCTAGCATATGATGATGCATTGACATAATCACAGACTTTATTTATTAAGGTAATATTATCTTGACAGTTGTATTTCAAATTGAGTGGGTGATTTTTTTTCAATAGATCAATACTGTCACTTAATAAAGAACTTGATTTGTTCTAAGTCATGGGCATCATGATACAACAATTTTTATAATGCAGATCATAAGTCATTATGCAACATTTCTTCAAAGTTCTAGAGTCAGATCTATTTATAATAATATAATTAAATAAATTCTTTTTAATAGTTTAACTAATGTTCAAAAGAATAATGATAAATTTTTATCAACATAGTTAGATGGAATGTGTTATATAAATTATGAATATGTTATAATAAATATTAATATATACAATTATGTTTGTCATTATATAAAATTAAAATTAAAATATTAACACAAATATAAAAAAATTTAAAAGTTTATATTATTTTATTATATCAGATATCAAATCAGAAATGCAGTTTATTTAATCTATATACTTAATTTGTATATTAATATACTATTATAAATATATTTAATATAGCAATTAATGAGTTAATTGAATTAATCAAAAGATATAAGTACTTATAAATTAATTTAAAATATGGAAATAATAAACTACTTCTATAAGAAACATAAAATTTTTATTATAAGAACTAGTAGTTCATTATATGAAAGTTAATTATACACATATACTATCACAGATCGAATAAAGCTATATCGGCATGTATATAGCCAGACAAAAATCAGGCAAATATCAGAAACCGATATTTATCTGATATTTCAAATAAAATTTCGGATAAATATCGGTAAAATTGATATAAATATCAGAAAAATAATAAAAAGCTGATAGTTATAAAAATAATCGGTAAAATAACAGAAATATATCGGAACATAAATATGATCTAAAAGAAATATCAGAATACTAAAGCTGGAATAAAATCATAACATATCGAGTTAAATATGTCTAGATATTTTAACTAATATCAGAGGGATATCAGATTACCGATAAATATATTAGAAAAAATTCAAATTAACATGTTAATTCTCTCGAATAATGTTTAAAATGATATTTTAGCAATAAATGACTTATCCATAGACTGTATCGATAATTATTTGTAAATTTAATTATTTAGAAAGACTATTGGTAAATAGATAGCCCTATTAGTTATTTTAAGAATTTTTAGAAATTAGTAGCAGATCAAAATTATCTATAAAACAATATATCATATAATTATTTATAAATTAAAAGTAATATAAGAGAAATATCAGTAATTAATTATTATTTAATATACAAAAAATTAAATATGAAACTTTCTATTAACAGGAATAACAGATATATATTCTCACAGTTTTTTTTTCCAACTTTTACTGTTCCAGAAATAAATTGACCTAAAATATTGTGGACTGGAATTATACAATCCCTACTTAAATTATAGAACTCTTTATTTCATAGTTCAACATTACAGATATTATCGGTTTTGCAATAATATCTAGTCCTTTGGTCATTAACACCTTGATACCATCATACAAAGGCTAGTACATGCTTTTTTTGACCAAACGGTAGATTAACTGTGTGCTCAAAATAATATTGAACAATACCAGAATATATATCGACGGTATTATCGTCCAATATGAATTTTGCGAGTATTTTAGCCGACTTTATATGTCTCTTCGAAAAGGTAGACCCAAATACTTCATCATCAATTTTTATTCATCCATAAATAGTAACCCCTGGTAATACTGTTATTGATTCCGGGGACCTGTGATGTACTTCGGTTAATGAGAGGAAATTGTAATGATATGTATTGTTATAATAATCTATTAACAATAATATTATTTCTTTCAGAAGTTTCTGTCAATCCTTTTTAGGCCCTAATAGTTCATCTGAAAATGCTTCTGAGCCTGTTTCCGACCTTTTTTCAATATCAGTAGACATCGAAAAAAAATCTTGGTGATCGTTTTCACTATATATAGAAAGGCTACCAATCACCTTTTTTTTCTCAATGAACTGCAAACAAGTATTCAGATGATCATTCACATGTGATGAAAGTTCATTGAGAAGAGAATTATATTGCATAATTTTAAAAAATTCTGGTTCGATTCTTTTTTTACTGCTATGAAACAACCCTATAAATTTATTAAATAAAACCTATAAGAGCTATCGGCTGATTAATATGACTATTAATTTAATTGATGCAACTTACTCAACACTCCATTCATTCTTTCATAACTAAAACACCAAAATGCATATAATGGCCCATAGTCCATAATGCATTTACATATATGAAACATAAATGCAAATTTGGTGTTATTTTTTTAGAACTATAGTTTTTTTCAATGAGCTTCACCATTTTAAGAAAACATTAATAAGCTTCTTCCAAACCATCTATAGATACAATTCAGCATACCAAAATGGAACATGCATGAACAAAATAGGTAAGGATTTGTCTTTCATTTTCATGCAGCAAGTTCCAAGTAATTAATGTTGCATACACCAGTATAAAGGTCTTCCATTGGTCTGCTGTAAATCTCAAAAACCCTTCACCTATTGCAATTTTATGGGGAATTCTATTGATATCAGCTGGAACCTTTATTTTATTGGCCCGAATTTCCATTAGGGCAAGATCATGTGGTGTTAAAATACCTTCTTCAATACATAATTTGACAATCCATTTGGCAATGCCTAAAAATAGGCAATGCATTGGATGATTATAAGAAACTGGACTGAATTAAAATAAGAGAGATGATAAATTTCAGACCAATGGACTAAAGTTTCTGATGTATGCTTTCTTCTTGCATCATCTGTATTACAATTCTTCCACTTGTCAGCATTTTCTCTAATTTCACTAATATTTCTTTTAACAAACCATTCATTCATATCGGCAAAACCATTAAAGTTTGGCTGATTCCTTTCATCAAAGTTGGCCCTCTTTAAACACTTATAACAAGCAATTCTGGCCGAAATGCGTTCATATAGCTTTCTTGCAGCAGGAATGTCACAAGAACAACATATTACTGCAGCTCTAATAAATTTGTCCATAGAACATTTGAATGTGCTTGCCAATTCGATTCCTAAATTTATGTTAACTAAAATAATTGTAATAAAGACTTGATGTTAAGTTTGTTACTTACCATGCCACAAATCGACTAATTGATCTATTATTGGTGCCAGATAATGATTTAGTTGGTGTAGCTTAGGTTTGTTGGGCCCGGGTATTAACATCAATGTCAGTATGTTTGATGGCTTAAATCGCTCATCTTGTAGAAGATTACAAATGATGCTATAGATTGCTCTGACACTATATGTAGAACTATCAAATAGTTGGAACCAATCTAAGTTAATCATCAAACCCAAATTGCAATCTGATAGTTCATTCTGGAAAAATGGCAAATCTTCGTTTGATCTTGAAAAGTTTTCCAAATTCTTCTGTCATATATGTCAGTAAGACATTCAGGATCATTAAGTCTCTCTGTCCATTTTCTGCAAGACACTTCGAATCTCTTTCAGTTAAATAACAGTTGAAATTGGTGTTTTAAAGAGACTGTAGGAAAGATTAACATTGGTCTATATATAACACCTTGTGTGACAGGCACTTTTTTAGCAACTTGATAATTGCAAAAACATTTAAAATTGACTATTGAGTGATTCGGTAAGTCTTGGAAGGTGCAGTGACTTATTTTAGGTGTCATATTGGGTTTGTCAGTTGATACATCGGCAACTTTGTATAATTTGCAACATTTTTCACAAGTTGCATACTTGATCATGTGAGCACTAATACCAAGATGTTTACGTGCCATATTCATTGATGAAGGAAAAGAGGAGTGGGTTTTTTCATCATAGCAAATTAAGAGGTATTGGATAAATTTTAATAAAGATTCTGTAGCCATATCAGATAACTTATATCTCTCTTGGAATTTAAGAATTCATAAAATAATCCACAGAAAACCTTTAAGAACATCTAAAATACCAATATGTTCTTTCACTTCACCATTAAAGTCTTTAGGAGTATTGAAGTCGATTTCTTGATTTGTTAATTCTTCATCTTCATTGTCTGATAGGTCTAGGTCTTCAGCAATGTTTTTCTCTTAGTCAAAGAATAAATTCTCTATGAAAATAAGATTTTGTGTACTCCTCTTTCCTCTGTTTCCAACTGATCTCTTTCCTTTTTTAGATTGATTTTTAGCAATAAAACTAAAATCATTTCTATTTGAAGAAATAACAGAGTCATTGTCTAAGCTATTAATGTGCATTGGTTCTTCATAAATATCTATTTCCAGAAGGTCTTTAGAAATGTCTATTTCCAGAAGTTCTTCAAAAATGTCCATTCCCGGAAGCGCTATTGCAGAGGTAACAATTGCTTTATTTAAAGATTCACCAACATCGTGATAATCTTTTGTTATACTAGTAATGTTTTTTTTTAGCATATGAGCTTTTCTAGTGTGTGGATCAACAAGTTTACTATTACAGCTATTGCAATAGCAAGCTTTAAGAGGGCAGGTTGTTGAGTGTTTGGGATAATTTGCTTTTCTAATAGTTTTTTTAATGAAAGGATTCTTTTGGTGACTCATTATGATGTGATAAGAATTGTGGACAAGCGAAAATATATGAATGAAAGAATTAAGGATAAACAAAAATATATGAGCAAGAGAATATATGAGCTGAACTAGAGAATTTTTGAGCAATTGCGAAAAGAACAAGAATGATAGATTCAGTCTATTAAAAGGTAAGCCTTATTTCTATACAATTTGGTTTCTTAATGAAACATATCAGAGTGCCAATATACATAAAGGTCTACTAAAAGCTATTGACCCATAATCGCGTAATCTTTAAACTCTGTTTTGACAATTAAACTTTTGTTTTGGCAATTATACTTTTTGTTTATACATTTTTTTTATTGATTACCTATCGGAATAATATTTAGTAATTATTATCAGAATGCTGATATGCCTAAAGGTCTTCTAAAAGCTATTATCTCATAAATTTTAAATGCTTTGATTTGGTGATTATAATTTTTGTTTTGATAATTAAACTTTTTGTTTTGCTACTTTACTTAATTGGCTTTTATATCTATTAAAATATCGGTATGCCGATAGGTCTTTTAATTCATTAACGTAAACTATCGATAATCGTTAGTATCCTTACTTTTTGCTGTAAACAAATTCGTAATCAATACTTTAATGTATAGTTTATAAATATAATAATATTAAAATCAGTTAATAAAGCTATCAGTATTAATATATTGTCTGACTTTTTTTGATTTGACAATTATACTTTTTGTTTGGAAACTATATTTGATTGGCTTTTTAAATATATTTAAAATATTGGTGTGCCGATAGATCTTTTTTTTATTTAAGTGTAAACTATTGTTATTTATCAATAACTGTAATTATTTGTTTCAATATTTTTCGTTTATAATATATAAATATTATTTCAGTAAATAAAGCTATCGGTATTGAAATATTGTTTGGATTTTTTTTTGTTTTGACAATTTAATTATACTTGATCGGCTTTTTAATCAATTCAAATATCAGAGTGCCGATAGGTTTTGCTATATTAACTAAACTATTGTTAATTCATAGTATTCTTTCTTTTTTCTATAACTTTAAAAAATTTGTAATTAATACTTTTAGTATATTGTATATAAATATTACAATCAAATAATAATCTATCAGATTTTTATCTTATAAACTAATCGTACTTGCATAATATACAAGTTAATTTCTATAGATTATGCAATATTATGCAAGTCCAATTATATTCAATTTTAACTCAGATGTCAATTTATCTGCACACTTTAATCTATAAATAAGTCACGCTTTCTTTATGCTTACATTAACTAATTTAACGCATTCTTTTTGTATAATATATCATACTATTATTGAGTACATGTTAGTAGAATTTACCTTTCATGTTGGTAATATATCATACTTTTATTTGAGCCATGTTAGTTGATATACTTTTTCTTTTCACTCATATTTTATTTAGCAGTAACTATAATATCGTCATTCCTAATTAGATACAATGGAATACATATTAAAATCTAAGATAGACTATTATATAAGAAACAGTTTTCTTGTCTTTTTCTTTCTTTTTTTAAACTAATCGAACAGTCGATATTACTAAACCCTTTTGACTAAAACACTTTTGTTATTTTTTATTCTTTTTTTTAAAAAACAATATGCATGGAAGAAGTGCCCAAAAAATTTGAATAGTGCCTTGATGTCGATCAGTTTTCCCTATTATGCAATCATGACAAAGTTATCGTTCAACACCTTCACGAAGCCAAAATCGATCTATAACAACTTATGAAGCCATAATCGATCCCCAATGCAAACTCGTTCAAATCAATACCATCGATCTAACCACAGGTTCAGGTTCTGCTCTCCTTTACACAAAAGAAGTTCTAGATGTACCTCTCATTGTTCTAGATCTCCTGATAGAAATACTAAAGTGACTCAGGTAATATTAAGCCTATTTTTTTTTTAATAAAGCTATTGGTATACCAATAGGTCTAACAACATTTTTATAAATACTAGAGATCAGCTTTTTGAAGGAAGCTGTTCATTCTTTAATAAGCGAAGTAAAAGAGCTAAAAAAGCATCCTGTCCCCCAACTCCAAGTGTACAAGAACAAGGTAATTATGTATATAATTATCAAAGCGATGAAGGCATTGAAACAACTGGTACCATTGGACTATTATTTTCACTAGAAGACTGTGAATTAATAGATCTGGAAGCAAATCATAATTGCCCTACCACCACCACCAGCAATAATGGTAGTTATAATAATCGCTCCACCACCACTACCAGCAATCATGGTAGTTATAATGATCCATCTACTACCACTATCAATAATTATGATAGTAATAATCGCCTTACCACCAATAATAATGGTACTACTACTGATAATACTGATAGCAATACCATGGCAAATGTTGGTACCAATAGAACAAATAACACTAGCAACTGCCTTAATACCACAATCGCAAGTGCACCAACAAGTGCCAAAAAAACAAAAGGCAAACAGAAACAGCAAGTCGATAGTAATAATCATCGGCAAAAACCATCATTATTGCCTGAACCATCTTTCGGCTACCCTAAAAGGTCACGTGAAATCCTGGAAGACATGGATGAAGAACAATATAAGTTGTTTCATGTATGTAAAATAATATCAGCATGTGGAAATCGAATTTGTAGTTTTTAAATTTTCTATAATACTGTGGCACATATATTTAAGTAATTATAGTGCTATCGGGTTACTGAATGCTTATTTTAATATGTAGGATGAAGTTCTTCAAATAGTTAATAGCCTTGACGAAAGGCTTCAGATGGACTATACGAAAAATTGGAGTGAAATTTCTTGCCACGTGGTTACGAAAACTATGCTAGTAATTGGAAAGCCACTTGAAGGCAATTTTAGGTACAAATTGAGTGAATTAAAATATGTCCTAAAAAGCCTTCACTGACATCATCAAGAAAAATAGAAAATTGATAATGATCCTGAGAGATTATAAAAAAATAAAAAAAGAGTAGGCATAAATGGTAGGTGTCAATCAGTATGTATAGGTCTATTCGATTAATTGAAATAAGTTATAAGCACTTTGCAAGTTATTATATTTGTATTATACAAAAACCTATAAGCATCGCAAAACAAATATAATAACTTGCAACATTATCATAGGCCCAATAAGAATTATCTTAATAAACTACTGAACAACTGATATTAATTACCATTACTCTAAAAAAAAATAAAAGAATTAGAGGCATTCACCATATGCTTAATACCAATGATAAAAACCTCGCAGATCTTGCCTCTTCCATAAGTTGGAATGATTTTAAAGCTGATCTTGAAGAAGTTATAAATAATGATGAATACCATTCAGATGAAATATCTGAAACCGATAATGAAAAGTTGCAAGCAGAACGTTGAATGAAAGTTCATTCAGAATCTAAAAAAGCAAATAACAATCATGTGTTTCATGTTTATGATATGCCTTGGAGATCCTGTCGAGTAAATAATAGTTATTATTATGATCATTATAATCATTTTATTTTACATTTATATTTCTTTATTCTATGTAAAGCATGTTAAAAAAATTTTGTGGTTTGCCGATGAGGTTGGGGAAAAAATTTCGCATATTAAATGTGCCAAAAAACGATGGTATAATGACAGTAGATGGTATGATAGCTCTAAACCACCAGTTGATGCACCTGTTTGGACCATTTCTTCTTCTTATTATTCTGACAAAGAAGAAGAAGTAGATGAATTGGAAAGAGAAGACTATGAAGAAAATGTCACCGCTAGCAGCAGCCGAGCTGCCAATAATTATCAAAATATTGACGAAAGAACTGAAGAAGGTGGTAATAGTACCAGCATTGAAAATGAAGGCAATTGATTTTTAAATTAGCAATGCAATTGCATTTGTAGCAGCATAGCATTTTTGTTTTATATCTTTATAGTATTACTATATAGATTATAGCTTTTAGCATAGTGATATTATTATATGTATAATAAAAATAATGCTATGTATAGCTATAGTATACAAATTTAGCTATCGTTATCTATTGCTTTAAAAAATTTCTAGTGTGACATTAATATATAAAAGCTACGGGATTGAATAAAAATAAATAGTTAACAAATTAAAAGTGAAAGCCATATTAGAATCCAATATAGGTCTGGAATTAAACTGAAAGAGCTCTGAAAATTTTCCAGTTGTACTCAATATAGAATAAATTAGATGTCTATCTAAAATACAATAAATTTATTATATTGCCGATATGTATATGATATTAGTTAAGAATTGTTCTAATAGGTGCCCGAAATTAGCCAAATTTTTGTAAAATATAGGATCCGAATTGGTAAATTATTGGTTTTATATATCAGAGTAATTTCATAGCTTAATCGGTAATTTATCAATAACTATTGGCATTCTGATATTTTTACAGTATTTCTTTGTTCGACCTATGCAAGTGGTTATTAAAATAACTGTATGCAGGCATGTGGCAAACATGCACTTAGATGCCATATGGGTAACCAGGTGAAGTTAGTAGTATAAAATTAGATAGTATATAGTACTAGTAATAATTAATCCTAAAATGTAACTGTAAATTTGTACTATATTAAAATTAAAGCTAATAAACCAACTGACATTGTCATCAAAGTTAAAAAAAAAATATATATATATATATATATAATAATTAATAAAAAATAAAAATTAAAAAATAAAAATTAAAAAATAAAAATAAATAAACTAATAATTGAAAATTATAATTTAATAAATAAATTTAAAAGAAAAAAGAGTTTTTTAATTATTGACATCCTTAAACTATATAATATTACTAAAAATATTATAGTTTTGTTAACTAGTACTATTATAGAACAAATACTTTAATATCTGAATCAAAGTAGAAACTTGACAAAAATTTTAAAATAATTCTTATCTTTTTATGAAACTAATTTTATTAATTTTAAAGAAAAATAATAGACAACTGTAGTGAGTATTATATAAAAATAGAAAATAATTTAATATTAGTTATATTAGACTTAGAAGCTGCTATAAGCATAATATTAAAAAAAATTTTAAATATTGAATTGAATATAGATAAAGAATTTAATATAAAAATAATAGCAACTAAAGCCAAAACCTAAATACTAGACAAAGTAAAAAATATAAAATAGCTATACTAATGTAGTTATATTTATCTCTCTACAAGTTATAGAATTTTTAAAAAACATTACTTTTAAAGACTAATTAGTTTCAAAAAACTAATGTCTCAATCTATTTTAATAAACAAAAACTTTATTTAAGATATTAAAAAAATAATAAAGGTACTTATATCTAATTTACAAATCAAAATTTTTTTGTCTTATTAAGAAGCAAACTATAATAATAAAAAAGAAGATACTTTTGATAAATTTGATTAATAAGAAGATAAGAAATTAAATAAAATAAAAGAATACTATGTAGGAATAAGGTCTTATAGCTAGTAATCTAGATGCTTCTTTCTTCACAGACAAGATCAATGATTCAATTTTAGCTTAAGACATAAACTTGTAATCTACAAAAGCATATGAATATATGTGAAGCTCTGTGACTAAGTCTATATAAATAGAAGATTTGTATCCTTTAGATTGTAGGCTAACACAGACAAATTTGTCTATGTTTTTGTATTTTTTTAGCTCTGATTTACTTTTTTAAATTGTTAAAATATATAAATAAAATTTGGTATAGTAATATTTAAAAATAAGAATTACTTTTTTGCAGTATTTATTTTTAAATTATAAGAAAAAAAAATTAGGTTGCTTATA